GAGGCAAATGAGCCTTCCTCCCCTCCAAGGTCGCTTGTTTTTAGTACCATACTCATTTGGAAGGATAAAAACATTGACGGGAAATAGAGCGGAGGGGGAGAGGCATTTCGAGAAGGATCGGTCAACACCGGAAGCTTTATTCTTCCTCCTTTGCAAATCTCCCTGTGGGTGGGGTTGAGGACGTGAGGGGAGGGTAGAGGGGCGGATCGAGCGGGGCCGTTCTCGTAGCTTCAAATCAATCTCCTCTTAAAAGTTTTGTTTTCCCCCTATTTTCTGATCTATTTATTGGGATAATCGTGAATCATTTTTAACGATCTACTTTCAGCTAGGTAGTGTTTTCTCCTCGATTCTTCTACTGGCTGTCATCTTCTTCATAGGACCACTTGTTGAAGTATTACCAGTATGCTTTCTATCATGCATTATTATCGTAGCCCTGAAAGGGATGTTCATGCAGCTTAGCGTTATCCCATTGCTATGGCGGATTTCGAAGGCTGATTGTGTGAGTGACGTCATATTGGTGACGTCACATTATCAGCTGAACTTTGTTTTCTTATAGGCAATATTTGTGGTAAGCTTCGTAGCCACGGTTGTATGCGATGTCGTCGAAGGCCTTCTAATTGGAACTTTCTTCGCTGCAATCTTGCTTGTTTATGGAATTCAAAGGTAATTTTGAAGGGGTAGGTGGTCATATGGCGCGATCCCATTGGCATTAGAGCGCACAGGCCGCAATTGCCCATCCTGCTGCGGCCGGACAACTCGTCCGTATCACTCAACTACTAGACTTCAGTAATTGATCGATCTGATAATTTGGGTCTCAAAAATCTCGCTGAGTCCCAAAGATCTAAAAAAAAGAGCGGATAGCTTCTGATGCCAAGGCAAGAGGAACGGAACAGAATGTGTTGCGCGGACGAGTTGTCCGGCCACAGCAGGATGTGGTAATTACGGCCTGTGCGCTCCAATGCCAATGGGATCGCGCCATATGACGCACACCGTATGGGTTCCGTCGTTTTCCGAGAAATACCTTTTTCAGTGCCAAGGTTGTTGAAATAGGCCGACTAAGTCACAATGAAGGTCAATCGTACTTCCAACCAATAGAGCATTACAGGTTTGTCTAGTTACTTTTTATTAGTACTTCAAAACTTCAAACTACGATAAAACAAGTAAAAAGGTCCGAAATTTGCTAATTGTAGTCTTTTGGTACATTTGGAGGGTAGTATGCAGTTCTAGTAATTGTGCTCCCACCTAGGGTAACTATGATCTCATCCCTGCAACCCTAAACCATTCAGTGAGATGATTATCTGAGACGATATCCAAGCTTATGAATTCGGAATTTCCGAGCTCCGCTGCCCAGGACCCTGAAATTTCCGACCTTTACTTCGTCTCTTATGTTTGGAACTCAAGATGGTCATTTCTCTTCAGAGAACCTTGACCTTGATTACTTTCACATCCATCTACAGGGATTTAGTGGGCTAAAGAGTTTTAAAACCTAAGTCTAGGTGAAGCATGAGCTCTGCGGCATGAAGTAGCACTCATATCCTAAAAACGCGAGCGTCTCGCTCCAGTTCACCATGAAGAATGCCGATGGACGTGCTGAATGCCTTGGTAACGAGTGTTGTGTTGCATCGGAAACCTCTCCAGCTTGCAGTTAGCAAAACAAACAACAGAACAACAAATTTTTTTTCCAATCTCCGCCACAAAACTGTTTCCATTGTGATAAGCGGAAAAGTGCTTTTCAACTTCAATGCTGATAGCATTGTACCCAAGAGGAAGTGCGTGGTTTTTTTTCATTCAATCCTATTGATTCTAATTTTTCTCTTTGCAGAGACGCAGTGATTCGTGATGGTGTGTGCTGTGTTCGTTTCGCTGCTCCTATTGTCTATTTGAATGCCGAACGGTTTAAGAAAAGTGTCGATGACGTCATACGACTTCCGACCTTGGAACGAAGGTTTGTCATCGTGTTAGTCAGTGTGAAGCGCAGTACTATTTCCAAGTAATACAGGAATAATACCCTACGCCGATATCCGATTCACAGAGAATTAGGAGAATTCTTCACTAGGCTGCTAGAAAACATAAAAAATTATCCTTCAAAAAATCGTAGCAATTTTTGAAGAAACATTCCACTGTCAGCTTATTGATGCAATCCTTTCTGCTGGTAGGGCAACTAATAATAATAATAGTTGTGAACAAAACTTTCGCCCCAGGCGGGACTAGAACCCGCACCTCTCGCTTTTCAACTTTTTTTAATGATAATAATAGTAATAGTACCTGGGCGTACATTTCTTCATACAGTCCAATTCGTGTCTGCGTCTCCCATGTCCGTATGATCTCTTGATAGCGCGCTCAGTTTTTCGTCTACATGAGCTCATCCATTGCCCAAAAGCCCCCTTCCAGCAGTTTCTTTTCTCTTCTTTTACTGGCCCGCTTTTTACTTGTAATTTCATTCTCAAGAACATAGCCACACCTAGGCAGCCGTAGAGGTCCTTTACGAGAAGCGAGTGGTTTCCATTCTTTCCATCTTTTCATAATAGATCACCCACTAGTTCTCACACTTATTATCCACCCTGCTCTTCTGCCTGGAAATTAGTTTCAAACAGAACGTGGACGGAAACAATGGAATAAAAAATCCATTCCTAAAAGTGTCCTTAAAACCCGCCCACTGCTGAGAAAAGATCCCAACGATGAGAAAAAAATTATATAGATTATAAAGAAGCCTAAGCATGATAAGGTTAAGCTGATGTTTCTTCAGACGGAGAGAAGGAGAGAATGAATTGGAAAAATCAGTGAAACACTGCCGAAATGAATCTGGTACGACGTTGCGGAGTATTAAGGTCATGCCTCCTGACGTACTGCAAAAGGTATTTATTGATTTTTTTGTTCCATTTCCATGTTCAACTGCACAATTACAGCAATTCTCCCTTACCGAATCTAAGCATGAGCCAATACAAGCGATCGTCATCGACTTGTCCGCCGTACCCCAGATCGATTATACTGGTGCTCAGTGCATCATAGAGGTACATACACTGCTTTGAAAATTACAAAGCCAAATATAAATGGGCATATTCCAAGAAGTTCTACAAGAATAATACCAGAAATTAGACATAACTCGTGCTTCGAATGCTAGGAAAGTTCAGTGATATAAATATGTCGCTGTGGGCCGCTAAACGACGCGCGGCGCGTGCAAAGTATTTCTGTGATTGGTAGGTTGTCGGAGACGACCACTAATGGATATGCTTTGCACTACGGTCGCTCTCTTCTGTTGAAAGTGCGCCTTGAAGTTCTGGCGAATCACCCTTAGCAATAACCCAAGTTGAAATCGGTGGGGTAACAGCGACTGATAATGATCGCGTAGAGGAGTTGTTCTAACGCACCCGCAACAGTGCGATGAGCTACCATATCTGTCTACTTATCGCCTACATATCTTGTCTACGTCGTAATCCACGTTGCATAAGGTCGGGCGCGAGGTAACTCGTCCGTAAGTTCACATTAGTCGCCATCAGATCACTTTTAAGCCCTAGCGCCATTCGCGCACTTTCGAGCCGCGACAACGGCACATCTGTGATACTCGTGGGCTACTCTATCCCACCCACAGAACTGATTCTTGACACGACCTCATCTGGGGTTGTTGCTTTAAATGCCTATGTCTTTGCAAGACCGGTAGTAATCTTCTGATTTGCCGAGCTTAACTAGTTAGCTTTTCACTGCCAATTACGAATTTCTCAAAAAATTACATAATTGAATTTATAGGTCTTCAATGAACAGCGGAGTAGAGGGATCACTGTGCTCTTTGCTGCAGCGCCATGTGAGTGCATATTACTATACCTTTTCGATTACTACATGCTACTTTGAGTTGGTTGAAATTTTGAATAAGCATGAAAGGAAAAAATGGGGAAAGAAATAAAGAATGAAAATAAATCAGGAAGGCGTATTTAGTAGAAGACTCTGGGACTGACCAACTATTTCCTCACGCAGCACTCCTAGTGTGCATGGCGACTCTCAAGGAAAAATCATTCACATTCACTAAGATCCAAACTAAACTAACATTGTCGTATGTATGTATGTCCGAAAATTCCAATCATTCCCTTATCCAGAATGACCTTTCGTGAAAGGTTGTCGTGTGAACCATTAACCCGGAATGATTCTCTTTGTCTCTCGTGTACTACCGCAGTGTACGAAAAAAAAGGGCCAAAAAAACGTCTCAGATGGGTCTGGAGAATCAATCTCACCTTGAACACCATAAGACTATCTACAAAGATGGAAGGTGGCAGGTTTAGCGGTACGAGAGTCGTGGCAATGGCGATATACGCATACCAACAATGCCTTCGGCTTTCCTGCAGAGCTACGGCCGATTCCCGTTACGAATGCATCTACGCTGCCCTTCAAAAAGCGAGAAAGTGTCGGGTGCAGACCATGCACCACAAGTGACGACGGCCTTCACAAAATGTTAATGTTTTCTGCCAATGAAATGATTAGCCTGTTGCAGTTGTATTCTATCGATTGTCACTAATTACAACGGTGAAACTCGGGTCAGGGGGGGGCACGCGATGGCGCGGCGCTCTGTTCGTCTGCTCCTCCAAGGCTTAGTCCACAGGGACAGTTACTCTTTCGCCATTATGTGGCAGTTTCAAAATACGCGCCATCGGTGACTAAGCCTTGGTAGAGCAGACGAAAACAGCGCCGCGCCATCGCGTGGCTCCACAAGCCCGAGTTTCGCCACTACAACTATCATTTACCAGAAATCAGCTATCACTATGAACAACTTCTAACCAGATTTACTTGGAGGCCGTCGTCAGTTGTGGTGTTTGGTCTGCACCCGACACTTTCTCGCTTTTTGAAGGGGAGGTTATGTCTGCTTGTCGCTCTTGCGCCATGTTCCCTCGAACTCAATTACATTCTGTCACGAGTGAAAAAGCTCTTCTTCTCGATCTTCTCAGTTTGCGTTCCTTCTTTCTTCACATGCAATCCATCTTATTTTGTCTATTTATTTATTGGGAACGTAGACAAGTCTTAGTGAAATATGAAATTTTGCATATTTTTTTTTCTTTTGGAGGGCTGTAAGCAATGCTGTATCGTAGCATCCCCCTTCAAACAGTGTGGTAACGTAAAGGAAAGGAAGAGCTTATTGTCTTCACCTACAGTCGCGGGCCTTTCAAAGCTATTTCGAATGAATTCGCAGTACTTCAATCAAGTTTGATATTACAGTGCAACTCCTGGCTCGTCTGGAATCTGTATTATCGGAGAATAATTCGAGTATTCTGACGAATTTTTATCCGTCAATCGATGATGCTCTCAACAACATCAAGTAGATGCACATGGTAGAACCTTGTGCGTCACAGATTTTTATGTAGACACTGTAAATACTACTAGAAATTTTCACTGATTGATAAATATTTGTTTTTTATGACATGCCACGATACTTCAAGATTACTCGCATAGGACCATGGCGCAGAAACGTCTGTCAAACAAAAAGCTGAAGATTTGACTTGTTTTTGTTGTTAACTGCTGTTTTTGGCCGCAGTTCGCCTTGCGAATGTTTCACAAGAATGCTGGGTTGTGAACAAAACTTTCGCCCCAGGCGGGACTCGAACCCGCACCTCTCGCTTACCGGGCAAGTGCGCTACAAGTTACGCTACCGCGGCATTGTTTCGACCTTCTTTGCGCACTTTCCCGGTAAGGCCGATGTCAGACTTTGCGAATCGAGCGATTCGCTAGCGTCCGCGGTCGCGTCGCGGCTGGCTTGATTGCAATGCTCGATTCGCTGTACGCGACGCGACGCGGACGCTAGCAAACCGCTCAATTCGCTAAGTCTGACATTGGCCTAAACGAGAGGTGAAGGAAGGTTCGTGTCCCTCCTGGGGTATAAGCCGCAAATGCTTTAACCTTTATCCTATCCCCTCGCTGGATGTGTTCCATGCCACCGGCTGAGTGTTAAGGCACTGTTTTTATCCTTTACAAAGGTCTGGTGCAAAGAACCACCTTGGAACGAATACTGATCGCTTCGCTGGTTGGCGTCCTAGTCCTGGTCACAGCACTGCCTTCACCCACGTAAATGGTGAACCGATTTGGAAGTCAGCTATGATCAGCTCATATAAGACAGTACCAAGAGTGCGGAGAATATTTACTAAGGAACAGCGCAGCGTATCACATTCAGCAATAGGACGGTTAGCAAATCACCAATAAAATAGTCATTCGAGAAACCATGACTGTCATAACATATCACCAAGCGAGATAGATACAGAATTATAGTAATCGATGAGATTAATAACGATATCCAGCGCCTGGTGGTGACTTGAAGGGACCAGTTCCGAAATGGTACCCGCCTGGAGTGCTTTGAGCGAGAGACATCTAAAATTTCTTTTCTAAATCACTGTTTAACCACAGGAGAAAAGGAATATACATATAATAAGCTATAAATGCTATGCAATTGAATGAGTTTGCTTTGAAACACCATAGTAAAAATTCAGAGGAATTTCATGAGCCGCATTGACACACATATCACCAACCGTTGGGTAACGTTGGAAATTACACTAGCGGCTGAAACGTGCACCGTGCCCATATTTACCTTACAAACTCCTTGAGGCGGATCAAAAATCACCAGTGTATCAAGGGGTACGGGTCAGGAGATCTTGATTGGCGCGGGTGCGGAAACTAGGCAACCGCGCGCGTGTGGTGTGAACGAATGTCCGTCACCGTCAGTGGTTCATGTGCCGAATGAATTTGCGACACCACTCGAGGCATTCTGACTCACCCTTCCCCCTCAAGGAATGAGCAGGAAAGCAAAGGCAAGGTGATAAGCACCCACTCTATATCTCGGACACCATTTTTGGCATGGAAAATTTGTTTCCTGATTGGCATTCGCAGACTGCGAACCAATCACGAGCCACCAGTCACCGATTCTGTCATCTGCCCATCCGGTTGGGTACGACGGATTGTGAGAACCGTATTTTTGTAAATTTGGAGGTTGTTTCTGGCAATGTTTGATTTCTGGTGAGGGTCAATTGTTCTTGTAGGTGGGGAAATGTTAGGTTGTTTTGAGTCGTTTTTGAAGTTCTCGCTGTTTCAGTGGTGCTCGACGGACTCTTTGAGTTCTGAGAGCAGGAATCAAGGAGAGGTTAACAACTATGTATAGGGGTGGCCAAAAAAGAGACACTTGCCATGGCGCACATCATCAAACTTTTCATCGCACAGGTGCCGCTGTTGATGAAAGTTTTACGGCAAAATATCCCTTAGATGTCCTCCATAAGTAGAAGCAGGCCCTCTTCACTGCCCTCACCGTCCTCAAAATATGACGTCATCTTCCATCACCGTTGAGCTCAAGAAGGCCTAAAGTAATCGTTCCAGCCTGAAGCTGCTACGGAATTTCTTTAACTGACGGATTGCTTCCTAGGGACAGTAGCTCTAGAATATGCAAGACCCCTTCCGACCAGCTTTTCAGATAACGTCGTAAAGGTCCATGATCCGCCGAGGACCAGTTGAGCTCGAACCCAAGGTTCCCATGGCAAATTCTTGTGATATCCTTGGTGCAGAAAGCTATTATAATGTTTGTTGATAGATTTTGGATGTGCTCTTTACAAACAAGTTGGGTGCAGCCGGTTTGAGTTCAGCGAGTGCAAGTGTGATTCGTGCTGTAGAGTGAAGTGTCTCTTTTTTTGGCCACCCCTGTATATTGTTGGCACCATCAACCTGCAGACTTGGGGGCAGAGTCAACCCTGCGTTGCGCAGTTCTCAACGGCCACGTTGCGCAGTTTCGCCCGATTAGACACGTTCTCTCGCGCGAACATTCACACTCGCATGCTCGAGCCGTCTGCGTCTCCGCCCATACAGCGTGCGTTGAGGATCTCTCAACGTGCCGTTGCGAACTGCGCAACGCAGGGTTGACTGGGGGCAGGGCTCGTGCAATTTCGGAACCAGCCGGACTCCACAGTCGATTGTGGTCCCCAATCTAAACGCCAAATGACATTGTTGAAAAATTTCTTTTGCTTTTTTGTAGACAAGGTATGAAGCTCGTCATTGAAAAATCTGACTCACATTAGAAGTTGCTCGTGATAGTCCGGAATCGTCAAGCAGACGTTTCTGTCGTTTATCCTTCGCACGATTGATTAACCATACTATCAGTGAGACGATCACCGCAATCACAACAATTATACAGAACACTACTATTAGCGCCACAGCCCAACCGTACTTGTTTTTCCTGGAATAAAATTTGGTGAATGACTTAAAAGTAGGAGCCGTTGAATAAGTCAGAGTAAGAGTTGTAAGAGTCGCTCATAAGAGATGAATGTGGCGCCCTATTGCAGATGATTGTGTAGTATTCATTCAATAAGTAAGATCAGGTAAAACATAAAACTAAGAAGCCAGGGTCAACCGTTACGTTGGACCGATATTGGAGCGACGTTGGACCGATGTTCACCGCTCTCCGCGCCGGCATTCACTCTCGCCACCCGCGAGCCGTCTGTGTCTCCGTGCGTACGTTCACTCTCGGCATTACTCTCGTCGTCGCGTTGGACTTTGTCCAACGGACGGTTGACCCTGTGCGCAGCTGTTAGAGTGCTCTAATCACATGGGCATGCTCGGGCGTCCCGCGACCAATCACAGTCAAGGCGGAAGGCAGCTCAGCAGTAGATGCCGTCCTGACTGTGATTGGTCACACTTATTTTGTGGCGTAGCAATGACATAAGAAAACTGTAAGATATTTAGGGAGGGATCACTGACCAGTCTTCATTGGTGCAACATGTTGTAGCGCAACAACCGAGATCTTTATAACACCTCTCGATAACCACTTGACCGAGTGAACTGTTGTACACACAGTCGTAGAAGGAGGGATCGATCGCTGTAACATTTCGAATGATTTCTGCACATGATCTATCCAAAATAGAAAAAAAATAAAAATACGTGACATACTATTTATTTTTTGATCAACAAGTCCAGTTCTGAGAATGGATGATGGTTCAAAAAAGCTCACACCGCCAACACTGGCACCACCGCCCAAACCGCTCGCACCTGTGTCATACTGGGGTGGTAGAATCTCGTTGGCTAAATAAATAATTTAAAAAAAGCGATACACATACAGAATTGACAACATGCTCCAATACGGTGATACTCCTGCAAATTTCGCTCCTCTTTTTTTAACAAATGACCAACTCTTTTGAAGAGCACTTGCAAAACAATTTTCCGGTTTTATAAATTACATTTGAATTTGATTTTTCACTATAAAACAAACACACGCCTTCACATCAACATAGGTTCAGGTCCATCGGCGGACGGTCCACATTAAGGAGGAGAAATAGGAAAAGACCTTTTTTCCTCCATATTCAAAACGATTGAATCGTATTTTGCTGAATTTAAAAGCATGCCCCAGAATCACTGGTGCGGTTCTTGCACACGAATGTGAATGTATCGGTGCAAAGTGGGCCGGCAGTGAAGAAAAAAGGAAAAGAATCCGTCGAAAACGCTCAGGTTGAGGGCTCACTCACCTTCCTAATCGGCTGTGCTAAGGCAATGAGAGACTAAGCGCGGAGAGGAGAGTATGAGGCGAGAGAGCGCTACAGATGAGAGGGCCAGACAACAGCCTGATAGAAAAAAATTGCAGCTGCTGCAGCTTACTTTGCAAGGCCCTAGCGCTCTTGTCGGTGATTTCCGTGCACGGGAACGCCACATCTGTGATTGTCCTCTAGGGTCTATCCTAAGACCGAAGAGAAGCGTTCACACAACTTTTGCCTGAGTTGTGCCTTCAAATCAAAAGAACCAGCCAAAATGAAGAGCATATTCCACTCAATAAAGAATCTCTTAATAGCCTTCGACGCGGAAAACATTAAAAAATCACGGAACGTGGTGCGCGGGTTGAGCTCAGCTGGTTCCTCGACCCATCGTAGATCATTGCCAGGGTTTCTCCAACCCTGAATGGGTGGGGGGCCGGCATAGCAAGAGCTAACGCCTCTAGGAAACTATTCACCAGTGAATCGATTTAGAGTTTATATACATTTATTTAGCAGGTTCAGGCTGCTGTAAGACTCCCATCAACGGCAGCAATCTGCGCTATGAAAAATAGCCGATGTGAGACATGGGTGGAATATCCTTCTTTCTGCTTTTTTTCCCATCCCCCCCCCCTTCACCTGTGTATTCACATGTCTTGTAGCAATAAGAGAACCTTCAGTGACAAGAATGCCTTTTTTTTCTAAAAATAGCCGAAACAGTGAGCCAAGCTGTTCGCCACAGAGCTAAAGAACTGTTCAGACGCTTTGCAATCAGGAGCCGGATGATTCAGCAGCGCTTAAAAACTCACTCTCAAGGGCTGCACACGATATTTGCAGAAGTGCTTCATGGTAACAGAAAGCGTAAAGAGTGGAAGGCACTTGCATGCTATCGTTTAAACAATTTTCGGACCCTAACGCCTTGATCATGTCCTATGTCGACCAGCTTTTGTCCCTGACACTATCATAGGGCAGGCCGTGATAATAGCAGGGACAATCATATCGGGAGTCTAACCAAGTTTTATGGAAGAATCGGCGAAAAACCGCTGTTCAAGGATCCCGACGTTCACTTCATAATCTCCTTTGTTCTAATCAAAGATCCTGTTCATGTCCATTAGGCATCGGTTGAAAAACTTCGATAATGGCTTTAGACGCGACTGCGAAAATGGATCAGGTTATCACAACGTCAAAACAAACAAAATGGTCCAGCACATGACTGTTGATCAGGTAAGCGGCAGCACTCTAATTCGAATACCGTAATGGTTACAGTCGTTACTGTCCTGCCAGACACTAAAAACTGGCCGATTGCCAGGCAGGAGTGGGCAAGGATCAGGTGTATACACATAAACCACCTGATCCTGCAGGTTGTTGATCATCCAAAAAGAAAAAATTATTCTCTTAGTATTGTGCTGTCCCGGAGCCTCATCAGGACCTAAATGTTGTATAACACAAAGAGGCACCAAAATTTTATTTCAAAAGAATTCCAAAAGTTCACAAAATAAAAATTCCAAAAATTCCAAAATTCCAAAAACCAAAAAAAGCAAGTTGAAAAGAATTCCTTTGAAATCCTCGATATTTCGGTGTATAACACCTTCGTTCAGGCATGTGTTTGCCACAGCCAAGTATAAAGCTGCCCTTACGGGAGCCGCGCCGTTGGAGTAAAATTAAAATGTTATTATTGTTTAATTATTATTTGATTATTATTATTGAAAATTATCGTTATTATTATGTTTAATTATTATTATTAAAAAAATTATTGTTGGTTCACATCACTCCAGGACATGTGCAAAAATGGGAAAATGCCACTATGTGTGCCTTATTTCATTTGCTCCAAACCCCGATTCTTTTTACCATTTCAATATCTGTCTTCATCTACTCTACATATAAATACAAGTTGCTATATGACTCTTTCGGCCACCTGAGCTTTTTCCTTTCCTTTTATTTTTACTTCCTTGCCTCCATTTCTCTCCTTCTGTTTGCAGTTGAGTTTGCAAAAGGGTTTTTCTTCAGTCAATTTTTCACCATCGCGCTGCAAGTGCGCAAGTAAATAAATTTAGGAGCAAAGGATAATGTTTCTAGGGCGAATCGATTCTTCCTATGGATACGCTATGCAATGCTAAAAGTTAGAACCGTAATATTGTCTTGAGAGCGATTCATCTCAGACGGGGACGGTCGATGTACATTTTTTGCCTCCTAAACAGGTTCACTATTAGTTGATCAAAATCGGAGAGTCTCCGGTTCACCGACTTACAAGCAGAGCAACTTGCCACTCTTTTAATCCAGCTCATACGACGAACAAATGAAAAATGACAAAGCATGTATGCTGGTCAAGACACTTTCTGGGATGCGCCGCGCATTCTACTTCCACGAATCGTAGTGGCACTTCATAACGACTCAGCCTTTTCAATGGCAGCCAATGTAGAATTTGACATCTGTCCTACAAAGAGCTCTGGTGCCATTTAATCATCTTCGAGAAGATAAAAACCCTCATTGGCTTGGGGAAGGTTCGATCCGTGATTTAACCCCCTAACCATGCTCGTGATAAGTGGCATCACTAGGTGCTACGTAACTTTCGCCCTGTAAATAGGTAAATCTGAATAATCAAGTAATGAGCATCAAAAAACCATTGTGTTTTCTCTACGAAATATACCGTCGAGATGATTCATTCTAGGAATAATAGAAACTATTCTGTACTTTGATTTAAAGGCACGGGTCGCAATCGAATAGGTGAGTTACTCTGCTCTAAAATAAAACAAGAGATGTGAAGGAGACTGCAAATGAGGGAAAAAGCGAAAGGATGCATAGAAAATGCTGAAATCAAGGGCTTCTTGTGAAGTGGACCTTGACAGGATATGGGGCATAGCGGTCCGAAGAGAGAAGAAAGGCGAGACAGCACGTTGTACGAGATGGCACAGACGCCACGCGCGAATGATAAGAATGGCAACGGTGGCAGCGGTGATAGAAAGGCATTGGCTCCCCTGTGACGTACATTCCAGTCGCGAGAGTGCCATTACCCCTGTGCTCAGGAACAATACTAGTAATACCTAAGTCACCAAGAGGAATTCTCTGAGGTTTTGACTGCGACGCAAACCTTGATCACAGAGGCCAGCAGAGTTGTACATTGTTGGGTGCCAGGGTAACATCAAAATTTTGTTGGCAGGATCGGCACAGTGAGCAGTTGCATCTCTAACATCTATCGCTCTACTATCCCCTTTGAGTTTGATTTACTACATCCACGACGTCCTTGCCTTTGATCAGTCAGAACCACCTAGGCGAGCTTCTCTCTATTCTCTCATTTATATTTTGCTGATTCTCGGGATTAGGAGCATTTGGCCTACTATCGCTACGCACTTGTCGGAGAATGCAGGTGAAGAACAAATAACCTACATAAGTACCACAGAGAACATTACCCTTGCGAAGTGAAAGTTTCAATGGGCTCTGCTCCAGCGCTGTAAAACAAATTGCCAGTTCAAAGTCCCAATTCACAGAGAATTCCAGCTCTTTTGTGAGAACTTCGAAGGAAACAGGAAAATGGGAAATAAAAATGATGCTTCCAGTGATGACTTCTTTTTCTTTGCTTCTTTTTCTTCATTTCCACTTCTTCTTATTCCGGCCCAAAATTGTGGAGATTGACTAGATCTGGCGGGTTGCGAAATCCATAAACATACGACAGCATCCCAGACTCCAAACAAGTCAAGCTTCCAGGTGAAAGAAAGAGAACAAAATCCTGTTCCCTAGATTTCTTTCTGCGTTTCTGTTTCTGTCCTTCTGCAAGCATAAGCTCTATTTTCGAAATTAAAGGCGCAACTACGACCTTCAAGGAACATAGAAACCGAAGAAGGCCATCTACCTGTTTGAAGTGGAAATGTCACTCGGAATAAGCAAAGTCGTATTTCTGCTCACTTCTTTCTCCCCCACTCCCAGTTAGAGCGCTAATTCCAAGCGATTGCAAGGTCCACATTTCTTATCCACCGCCAGCGTTTCGTGGAAGATAACCGGTTTTCTACCTCAATTCCTTCTCGACGAGTTTCCTTCGACTATTTGTGAAGATAGGCTGTCGTTTGACGACGACTGGGCCATTTTTTGTAGATAGTCGACCTTTCAGCCTTCATAGAGAATGCATACATCCCTTAGCCGCTCCTATGATAAATGAGCGCGTTCTGGGATGTTCATCGCGTAATAGGATCTTTTCTCACTCTCAAATTCTTTTGGGTATTTTCCTAAACATCATTCATTGACAAGCCATAAATTCTCTACAATAGACCACTCAGCCGCGCTATTTCGAGCGTTCGATCTGGCCCACCCAACATCTCATTCGTCTTTTATCCGGCAAAAAGGCTTTAATCTATGGCGTCGCTTTTCTTGTAAAGGGTTCCATTCAAACAGCTGAAACATAAATGCTCAAAGTTCCGAGGTCAGCTAAGCTTGGCCGTTACATTCCCGCGCTTCACCTTATGGCTTGATTTTCAGTCCAAGTGGAACTGGAATTAGAATGTCCTCCCTGCGCCTAAACCGCCAATCTGTTTAGGCAAAGCTATCTGCCTACTGATTTGAATTGGGTTTTCATGGCGGCTTTTAAGAATCACTTAAACAAACATCACGGGCCAGATGGGAACGGCTAGGGTGCGCATAAATAAACAAACCAAACAATCCGTCCACTCCCTGCACAAAATAATGACCATTCGCTTGCACTTACCGAAGGAGGAACCACCACCCGGTGCATAGAACTTGTTACAAACTTTGAAGCTTATACTATCTCTTTATGGAATAGAAGTTTGTCCACTGGAGTAACTTCACAGCTACAACCGAGGTTTGGACCGTGCAGGGGTGTCAAAAAAGTCCTAGGTTTCTAGGGGACGAGATGTGCAGGACAGTTTGCAAGAAAGAGTGAGAATTCAAAAACGAGGTGGAAGATAAAGAAAAATTTGAACAAAGTAGTAAATTCAGGAATGAGGCTCAATCCACTCACCGGGCACATCCCATCTACTCCACGGTCCAGGTCGATCAGCGGCCATTCGATGATGTGAGTTGAACTGCAATCGTCGTCGCCGTCGTCGTCTGAGGGCGTTGTCCTCCCCCGGGCCGTGCTGAGAAGGAGGGCGGATCATTCCGTCATCGACAACGGAACCGGCGGGGCGTCATCAATCGAACGCAAATAGTGGTGTATTTCATAGGCTTATCCCTTCACAGCTATTTCGTTGCTGCTTTTCTATTCATCAAGCAAATATTGGCCATACGTAGCAAATATGTTGCAAATTGCCAGCAACAACTCTCAAGTTCCCCACTTTTCTGGATTAACGCAAAAAGGGACCTTTTGTCGCAAAAGGGTCGTCAAACGTGGTGCCTCCGACATAACATCCGCGTCTATCAACTCTGCAAAAATGAAAGTATTGGAAAAAGAAAGGATAATGAAGATACGTGCATCTCGACACGCTCATACTGTTTACTTAATTTTTACGAGCAAAAACAGAAGTTCTTTGGAAAAGGAATCTAATTGAAACGGGAAAATTTTTTCGAAGGAAATGGGAAAGTGCGATCTCAAGGGACTAAGCACAGCGAGCATCGCAGAAATGGTTGCGGCAGTACAATCTCCCTCGAGGCTGTTGTCAGAGTCCGCGATCTCTCGCGCGACAGATCACAGAAATCACACGTGCCCCAATCAACCAATCAATACAGCAAGGTGCTCTCTGATCCCTTCGCCAATTCTGCCTGGTGGAGATGACAGAATTTCTGTTCATTATTCTACTTGTTTCGTATTCAGAGTTCCAAGTGTTTAAATAAAGCACTTGCGATTTTACGATTCACGCTAGTCGCGCGACGGATTCCCAATGGCCCCATCTGCGGCCTCTAAAAATCCCAAAAACGACCCCTCCTCTCCCATCACAGCAAATACATACAACAGTCTTTCGAGAACCTTCTACAGCTATTCACACTGCAACCAGGTACAAGAGAAAGGATGAATTCTCAGCATAGGGTTATTCTGCAGAGTTGACGGCTAAACTAGTTGGAACGGGAATCGTTCTTGCACTTCTTTCTCGAAATAGTTATGAATCAGACCCGGACCTATCGGATCGTAAAAAAAAGCCTCTATGATTAGTGATCGTGAAAGTGAACGTTAACGTGTGATGACATGTGGAAGAACCGGTGGGTGAAAACGAGTATTAAAGGATAGACGGAAAAACGTGGGAGATATGAAAATGATAACTCATGGGACCATATGAGGTGTATGGAAATGCTGAAATGAAAAGAAAAAATGGAGAGAAAATTTACGTCCAAAAGGAAGTTATGAAGCAGTATAATTGCTTCTCTGACTTTTATTGTGAAGTCTACCTTTGTTCGATGGGTGAGGTAGAATTATAATACTAAAAGGCAGCAAGCACGACAATCTGGATGGAATCATAATGGAATTGAGGGATGCGAAATGACGTAAAAAAAACCAGAGCAGTCTGTCAGAAACCCACAGATTGAGATCCATACTTTGAGGGGCTGCTTTTGGACGAGTTTACCGCTTATAAGTGATGGTTTGAATAGGGTTCCCTCATAGAACACACAACACGACATCTTTCTAAGATGCGGCCGTTCGTTAAACAATACGCTTTCAAAATGAATCATAAAACCCACTTGTGGGTGGGGTTTTATGATTCATTTTTTGGGGCGGTGCGGTTTTCCAATTTGGAGCCTAAGTGCACCGCAGCCGTGAAAACGGCACCTCGCTTCCTTTTCCGCTTGACTACCGCTTTCAGTAGAGCAGATAGTTTTCCCGGTAAGGTAACTGCATTTCATATAAAAATTATTCATCATTATTTTATTGTCGGAAGGCGATGTATTTAACCTCCCCTTCAAAAAGCGAGAAAGTGTCGGGTGCAGACCAAACACCACAACTGACGACGGCCTCCAAGTAAATCTGGTTAGAAGTGTTCATAGTGATAGCTGATTTCTGGTAAATGATAGTTGTAATTAGTGACAATCGATAGAATACAACTGCAACAGGCTAATCATTTCATTGGCAGAAAACATTAACATTTTGTGAAGGCCGTCGTCACTTGTGGTGCATGGTCTGCACCCGACACTTTCTCGCTTTTTGAAGGGGAGGTAGGTTTAGTCAGATGCAATAATGCACTGGAGGAGTTAGAAGGCGACAGGGACCACTGATTTTGAGGCTTTCTTAACGCGCAGGAGAAGGTTTTGGGTAGAAACGCGGGGAACTCCATCCAGTGGCAGTGATTTTGCGAAGGGGTTGAAAGAGGGGTAAGTTAGAGTTTAGTTCCCAGAAGGCGCACTTCGACCGCAGTGAGGCGCCATCTCCAGTGTGGAAGCTACTGTATCCTGTCGAAGAAGCGCCAAGGTAACCGCTAGCAGCCGGAAAACGTGGACGAATGACACCTGAATGAATACGGCGCAGACCTTGCGCGCGCGACAACGCACACGCGACGGCACTGTCGCAACGCGGCTGGGGATTTTTATTGGCACTCAGAAATTTGTGTTTTTTGGAACTTCCTTACTCCTTCCTCTTTTGTTCATTGTGTACTATTTTTTTTACTTTTCATTTTCAAATTAGGCTTCTTAGAGGTAAACAGGTGAGATGGATGTGCTTCACATGACAAACTCTCATTTCAAAGAGTTCAAGCCACGTAAAAAGAGTAATCCCTGCAGGGGCTGGAAATTCGTGGTTAATATCGTAAGCTTTAACATCATGTACACCGTCATAATCGAAAGTGGTTAAAAAAGAAGCGAGGCTTAGGATGATCCAAGTTGAGGAATGAATGGAACATCAAGATCGAGAGAGAGGAAACGAGGGAAAAGGTAAAAAAGTGGAAATTTCTTTGTGTAAAGGGTGAGACCTCAGAGTCCAACAGTTCTACTAACGGACTGTAAACGGATTTGAACGAGATAGGTCAAAAAAGGTCTTCCATGTTTCCGAAGAGAGTGAGCAGTTTTCATTTTTCGAAGTTCCCAACGCGTGTTTTCCCTGCGGGATCAGCGGGATCACCACACAGGGTGGGGTGTCCTACTTAGACTCGGTCCTTCAAACTGCGTCAGTCTAAGGCCCTCGTCTGAGCTTATTCGCTTATATAGCGATTCATGACTGGTGATCTTACACGGTCCCACTTTTGTCACACGGTAGCTGGGTTACGCAACCCTAATCCCTTTCACCACCCCCCCCCCTTCCACTGTTAAAGTCAAACTCATCGCCGCAATCTTTTGGTCTTACTGGATCTCGCTCAAACGTTAGAAGGCGTAGTGGCAGCAAACTTAGGAAGAGGGAACTAGCTTGGCGTCCACGAAAGCCTTTAGGTGCAAGTTTGCTTGAAGCTGGAACCGAGACATCATCACTAGTTGGGAATGTTTGGCAAGGCAGGAGACGGAGCTTCTCATACACGGTGAAAGAGACAACCAAACCAATTTGAAAAGATTGCAACGCCAGGCGTCATACTTCAAGAACTATGTTGGGTTCCTAAACAGAAAGTAGCGCAACGGGCATTGTTGGGTCAGTCGTCTTCCACTCGTCTGAACGAAGTTAACATACAGTCATCTTAACTCATCTGGACGAGTTAGCAGTCAGTCATCTTCCACTCGCCTGGGCGAAACGGCATCTATGGCTATCATGACTTCATCCACACATTCCAATTTTTTATATGGCCTACCATCATCTTCCGAATTCGTTTGTTTCCCTGGCGCAGATTTTCATCGTACTGAGTGTCATCGCTGGCTTGGTGAGAGAGCGTAAACGAACTGAAAATGGTTGCCCTCTCCACCGAGGCAATTTCGCTTACATGGATAACTTGATTTCGAAGGTGTTTTGGAGTCAAGTTTGTGATTTTTGTTTACTTTCTTGTTCAACGAAAATAATAATAATAGTTCATGATCCATGTTTTGCTGAAGCTTTCATTCTGCTCTGGCGCTGAGCTTTAGTTACTGCACGATGTCGCAACGCGGGAATTCTGAACTACATTCTGCGATGTCTTTTGTAGAGCATGGAGAGGGAGGGGGGGGGGGGCAGGCGGAAAGGGTTAAGTATAAAACACATACACTGCGACGCATAATTATAGTTCCACCTACAAATTTCCCAAAAACTTGAATCTGGAGATGTTTTTGAAAAGGCTCTACAGACAAATTGTGACACATATAAACGCGAATCTGAATATTAACACGGAAATTTGAGAAAGCAACAATTTTTTATCCTCATTTTTTCGAAAATACCCGACTTGCCTATGACGCAAAATCATAGTTCCACCTCATGTTTCTCCGCTGCATTTTGCTTTTACCCAATCAAATTTTGAAATTACCCATTCAAGTTCCTTAGCTTATAGCAAAGGCAAAACCGCTGTCAGACTTCCGTAAAAGGAAAATCCTAGCAAAAGAGACGCAGGAATTGTTGAAGTGTCAGCTCACGCTGGAATTTGTCGGGGTGACTTCATAACGAACAAATTTCTCAAGGATGCTACAGGATATGATTCTGGGAGGAACCCTGATTACTATCCGACCGAGATAAGCGCCGTATCGTGAGAAAATAATACGACTTTATCCAGCCGGGTACGGAAATCAAAACTTCTTCAAAAGTTAGTGTCTCAATGGAAGCAGTTTCACGTGTTTTACAACACGCTCGTGACAGTCCATGTCTGGAAGGATAAGAAATACGCTTTTTGTGAAAAGAAATCAGAGAGAAAAACGAGCCATTTTTCTTTGAAAGTTCGCCAAGTCGAGTGAAGCGGTGACATTCTTTCATTTGCGATTTTTGATTTGCGTCTTTCTTTCTCTTAACGTTTTTCTTTCTCAGATCGGTTTTCTACTTCGTAGCAAACATGTATGGAGAAGAAAAATCAGGAGGATGGTCAGAGGTTCCAAAATATCACAGATAAAAAAGTGTCCTCACTTCGCTCTACTTAGCAAAACTTTTTAAGAAAAATGGCTCGTTTTTCTCTCTGATTTCTTTTCACTGAAAGCGTATTTCTTATCCTTCCAGACATGGACTGTCACGAGCGTGTTGTAAAACACGTGAAACTGCTTCCATTGAGACACTAACTTTTGAAGAAGTTTTGATTTCCGTACCCGGCTGGATAAAGTCGTATTATTTTCTCACGATACGGCGCTTATCTCGGTCGGATAG